TCAATTGTACTTCGTTCAGTTACGTATTGCTGAATACTTTTTACTTTGTATCTGCGGTACTAACCTGAACCTGCCAACTTTCCAACTCTTCAAACTAAAATTAACTGCCGCTTTAACTGTTTTGCCAGATAGTTAAACTGGTCATGATGCCATCTAAGGTTCAGGGGTTTGGGTCAAACCATCCAACTTATTATTGCTTTATTTTCTTTCATAAGAGGTTAATGGATTCTCCACTTGCGGTAGCTGAAACTTTTGTTTCACCTTATCATATAATAGAATTCCCTGCATTTCTTGTCATGTGTTTACTATAAGGACACAGAACATTTTCACTGGATCTAAAGCAAGCACACTTAACTTTGTGCCTTGACATTATTAAGCCAAAGGACATTTGCAGCCTTGACCAGTTAAAATACACACCCACACTGTAAAGTTGTGTATTAAATATGAAGTTTCAAAAGAGATCTAACGGACGGTTAAGTTTAAACAAATTAGACTTAAGTATTTGACATACCTTCAGGACTTGGATTCTCATCTTCTGGAATTGGTTTGGTATAACCACTGAAGAACAGTTCAATGTGCCTCAATCAAACCAGGAGTCAAATGGACACAGGTGGGTGTTCTTGTCATAGATGTAAATAAAATAGTTAAGGCACAATTTGAGGATAGCCAGATCTTGTTACCCTGAGGTAGTTACGTTCAATGACCATCTTTTCTTGAAAGGGGGCTCTACCTGCATGCTAGCCCATGTTTTGATATGTAATCAAGCATAGTGACTAACGACATCAGACATGTGTCAGGGCAGAGATCATCAAGGTGAAAGAATATTTGGCTAACTTATAATTTGATTCATAATCAAGTTCAATCTAGGTTTATTCCAAATAATGCACAATACCTGAAATTTGTAATTTTGTGTTGTGGTCTGTCATTATAGCTATCAAACTGTTCCTCATCACCAGAGAAGAGTGACAAACGTGGATCTGTAAGGGCTACAAACTCCTCCACCTAATGGACAAAGCATTTTATAATTTTAAGAGCACCATAATACAGTACATATGGAAATGCCTACTAAATGTTACGGGGCAGAAATATGTATTTTAATTAATTTCATCTATTAAATTTACTTTTCTTTTTCAACCAAAAGAAAAATTCCCAGCACCTCTAAGAAAAAGGAAGCCCTAAATTCTCTTTTGAAAGTTAGTAAAATAGCATTGGAAGATATCTTTTCACTTGACACTGATCAATGTGCCCAAAATCTAGTGATATACGTCTGTAACAGTCATTTAAAAGTGGATTCTTCCTAGTATAAGTGAAATACCAACTAGATGACATGCTTTTTGTCTTCATTTTAAAGTGATGCAAGAAACAAATTTGTGTAAATGAAGCCACATTCTCTTTTAGTATGAACAGCTAGGTAACCAAGGTGGGCAGTTCTAAAAAAGGGTGAACCATCAGTAGGAAAGAAATACTCTACAAGGGACTGTGGTACATGTATTTTAAAAACAAACTAAAAAAAGAATAATGTGTCAGTTGTAAGATCAGTCATGAATGCAGGTGTTGCAGGGATTTTCAGCAAAATGTAAAAATATTTTAGCTAAATAATTAAATATTTTTTACTGTGGACTTTCAAAAAAAAATGTTTTTAAACTTACATCATCATCACGGTCACCAGGAAGAGCCTTAGGTCAGGACTGGTTAACAGCTGCTTACATTTCCTTACACTTGGCAGGGAGGCTGTAAAAGATGAAGTGAGTGACATTGTACAGAATTCCATGTAATATGAAATTATTCATTATGTTGAAGATTGATATCACCCTATACTTACAGCTGCAAGACATGGGCCGTTGGCAAAACTAGATTGGACCAAATGGGATCAGCCCTAAAACCACTATTCCTAACCTTTCTTCATTTAGTAAAATACGGGGTTTGACCTGATCCCGTCCAATCTAGGACTTTATCAACGGACTGTCTTGCGACTTCATATGCAGTGATGCAGGTCTTGAATATCGGGTGTTTTCATATGTGATAAATAGTGTCCATCGGTGCCTGAAATTATACTGGGTTCAAAGCAAATAATTATGATTATTATATCCCCCTGATTGCTCATAGCCAATAATTAATCTTTGTTGAATCATGGCTACAGTTGATAAAAACTGTTAGCACAGTCTACCAGGCTAAAAAAGTAAATAATTGTCAATAACACAAGTATAAAGGTAAAAGCAAAATAACTTTAACTGGTACCGTATTTTTCTTCTCCCAGGTTTTGTTGTCTCAGACGATTCTCTTAGCTATACCTACAACAAAAGAATATCCAAGTGACTCTTTCAACTGACAAGCAAGTCTTCAAATAGCAATAGAAGATACCAGATGTACCATAATTGGTATAAAACAACAATGCATGTTTGATTACGGGTAAAATTAACCCTTGAATATACTTCATATTGAAGCCTCAACTAGCCATTGCTACCTGATTAAAAAATTTTTATAAAATAACTAATCATCAGAATAAAGTTCTTAGAAACATGAGGATCCAGGAAATTTTGAAGAAGGAACATTGTGAGAAAGAAATACTATAATCCAAGAACTGACAAAGGCTTTGAGTGGTGTGGCTTTTATGTCAAAATAAAAACAACAGGAGGTGGAGGGTGACAAGTGGAAATTCACCTCTCATTTCCTGTATCCTCCACTGTCTTCTTCTCATCGTCATTATCGTTCAACAGTCGTTGACGTTTTACATCCTGTGTATCGAAAAAACATCTTACTTTGTATTACTTAATAAGGCTAACAGCTACTAGCTGCAGCCCAAACAGAGACCAAGGGAATACACCCACAACAATGAACAAGCAGGTCATAGTTTCAAAGCCTGTCCTAGCATAAAGAAGGGACAGTAAAAACCATGGTTTTTGTTGAGTCCAGCGATTATCCTCCCTACATAATTTTTCCTTTCCATTTTGAAATACTTTAATGTTAATGCACAAAATCTTTATACATGTATGTATCAGCATTTATAAGGGTTTCAAACTTCATAACTTTTTGGGAGTGCTCCTCTGATTACTTTCTTAGGATAACATCATGTGTATCATGGCACTGGGATGGGGCAAAGAAAACTGAAGAGTCCAGCAGCATCCAATCCAAGAATCCAAAGCTAGTGGTCAGACCCTCTCTCAACTGTGCTTAATAGAAAAACAAATGGCAAGCAAAGCCATCTAGAGTATACTGGAATTATATGAGCATCCTGCAAATTGCTAGGATCAACAATGTTCAAGATAACCTTAGTGAGACAAAGACGTATTCTGACTCATCCACTGACTACCTTATTTTCTTCTTGATAACTAATATAAATGTATCATCCTGAATACTTGCTCTTGGATAGTATCTGGTTGAGTACTGAGAGAGAAAGAATATTACTACGTACTTTTCCAGTTTCAGCATTATCGCAGTTGTACGATAATGACTCCCCCTCACTGCTACTGCTACATGCGTTTCCATCATCCGTCTGCTTTCTTTTTAACGAGCTGCAAATTTATTTCAGGTTTTATGCAATTTCAATTTAAGATTTAAAAAATACACTTTGTGCCTTCTACTTACTAACCCTGGATCTTAGGCGAGATGACCACTCTCCTCACCCGGAATCTTAGGAGGGAAAACCGTACAACTCAGTATCTTGGGGATATATATAGACATACTACTCACCAAAATCTAAGGCAGGATAACCATACTACTCTCAAAGAATTTTAGGTGGGATAAGTGAGCTATTCAACCAGGATCTTAGGCGGGATAACCATACTATTCACTTGACATCTTAGGCAGGATAAACATACTATTCACCTGAAATCTTAGGCAGGATAAACATACATGTACTACTCACCTGGGATCTTAGGCGCAATAACCAAACTACTCACCCGAGATCTTTGGTGGGATAACCATACTACTCACTTGGGATTTTAGATGGGATAAACATACTACTCACCAGGGATCTTAGGCAGGATGAACATACTACTCACCAGGGATCTTAGGCGGAATAACCAAACTACTCACCCAGGATCTTAGGTGGGATAACCATACTACTCACCGAGGATCTTAGGCAGGATACCCATACTACTCACCCTGGATCTTATGCGCGATAACCATACTACATGTACTTAACTGAGGTCTTAGGTGGGACAACCATATTACTCACCCGGAATCTTAGGCAGGGTAACAACACTACTCACCCGGGATCTTGGGAGGGACAATGATAATTACTCACCCAGGATCTTAGGCAGGATGACCATAGCACTCATCTGGGATTTTAGGCACTATTATCTCTTAATCAAAATTTTTAGCAGGGTAGCCAGTTTTTTTTTTTCAATGGGGATTTTACCTCATAGTTTTCACACATTTTGTTATCTGAAGTCAGGGTTTTTTTTAACCAGCTAAGGTAGAATTGATTCTGGGAACATCAAGGAACTTAAGGGAAGTGACTCCTTTGAAGATTCAGTCCTTTAGTCCTCATGTGCTTTTTTATAATTTATTGTTTTAGCAGCAGTCTAATACTTAGTAAGTTTGTAGAGTACCCTCACCTTTTCACAAACATCTCTTTGATTCCAGGTTGCCTTTTGCACTCTTTTGTTGATCTAGGTTTATTCTAAATTAATAATAAAAAATAACAATAAAAAATTAACTCAAAAATAATGCTTGCACAAGTGCACAGTTTTAGAAATATAACCCATGTGCCCACAGATCATTTTTTGCTCTGGTGTTGATGCACTCTGAGAAGCCTGTGGATACAACAGAAAAGCTCACAACATCCTACCTTGCCAGTTAAAGCCAGACAACAGCAAGCTTTTGATTTTGACAAAGTAACAAGAAACTTCTACTGATCACAATTCTTATAGCTACTGGCAGATTTAAAACCTGTGCAGTTTTTTAAAACCTTTATATGATACATGAGGGAATTCATTGGTGACACTCAATTTACTATGTGTTTGTCGCCATGTAACGCATGAGTAGTAAAAAAATCAAAAGTTTGTCTCCAGTATTATTTAAATGTATGTGCGTTAAGTGTCAAAACTTATAAAATCTCTTGAGTATGTGTTCCAATGTTATGGTCCCATTGCGGGGACAAAACACAGGTCACAGGTCACAAGTGCAGGTTAACTATTAGATAGGCAGTTTACCCTTAAGCTAAAATACTCTATTTCGGATTGTGATTAGGGCTAGTAGACACTTGTAGTGTTGTTTATTTACTGTAGCACAGTGACCTGTACTCCAACCTGACTTGCGACCTATTTGTGTCTTCCCGATAGTCACATACACATACCTTACAAGTAGCCGTAGGAGATTCTTCTTTTGTCAGCAAAGTTGATTCTAGAAACCACATATAAAACAGGAAAGTAAAAAGAAGGCAATGAAGTGGGGGTAATTCAGAAGCAACGTGTTTTTACCTTCAGTGGTAGACTTTGAAGATGATGCTTGGACATCATCTTGAATAGGATGGGCAGCAGATGATGGTTCACCAGCACTGCTCTCAACAATTGAACTGTCCGAGTCCATGGTTTCATGGCGGACTTGATCCTGACCTTACATTACCACTGTTGATGCCAACATTCCCCTGTTCAACCTCAGATTCCTCACACCCTGTCTCCATAGGTTCTTCATTTACTGCCACAGCTGTACCATTCTCAATATCATCATTATGCACAGGAAACCTTGGTTTAACATCACAGCCATTGGTAGCCCTGTGACCAATCTCAGACAGCAGTTCCTTAAGATCTTTTATCAGTTGCTCCTGTGGCAAAAGAAGTTTGGAATTGTCACATTCTTTGCTACAAGAGAGGAGGGGCAATGGATTTTCCCCAAGCTATAATATGGTTAGTTCAGGCTACTAAAACCCTTAATGCTTTAATATAAAGCTGAATGTATATTGTCCGTGCTATTTAGGGCAACTTTCCATTATAGTCTCACGATTGTGAGACTATGATGGGTTAAAAATACAGGTCACTTTCCACAAGTCAGAGTACAGGTCAGCATGGATGCTACAGATAAATAAAAAGAACCCAAGGTGTCTCCTTGCCTGAACCTCTAATACAAAATCATTATTTTAGATAATGAGAGGAAACTGTATGGCTTAGCAATTTATCACCCACGGTGTCTTGCCCTAATTTCTTTACAATACCATTTTTTAGATCGATCAACAGGAAACTATATGGCTTAATAATTTATCGATGAAGCAGTGACTTCTACTCTTGACCTGAGGAATGTGAACGGTACTTTAGACCCTGCACTCATGATTTAAGGTTAACAACTTACTTCGGTTGATTTTCCATCTTTGAAATCACCCTCTATCTTTTCAATTCTAGAATTAGTGAAAAAGTAAAGTAAAATATTTAAAAAAATTCAATGCAATACACTTCTCAGTACAAAAAAAGCAAGCCCTAGGCATAAAATCCTTTGACCAAGTTTAACTGTTATTGGAGTGAACTGTTTGAACTGTGGAGTCATTTCATAAGTAAGGTGGAATATGATTGTCTGGGGGTAGTCCTGAATCCTTTTGTTGGCATGCAGTGACTGATGTTTCCACAAACTGTGCAAGAGTTTGAATTCAGAGTCAAGAGGAATAGAGTTATTGTTGTTGTTGTTGTTGTTTATAAACAATATTTAATACACCATTTGCTCTAAGAGCCTAAAGGGCTCATCTTGAGAGCTTACGCTGTTTACATTGAATATTTTAAAGATACAAATGAACATCATGATCAAACACACACTCGCACATAAAAAAGCAAAAGAATAAAAAGAAAAAAACAAAGATAAAAATAAAAAACACACAGCAACTAACAGAAGCAATTTGATAGCGAAATAAAGGACTGGACAAGCTGACAACAACCTAACTTTAATTTGAAAATCAGCAGTAGAAATACCATTTAAAAGCCAATCGTTTTTTTTCTTATCTGAGGCACCATGCCATCTATTTCCAAGTAATTGTGCAGCAGAGGTAAACAACTTTTCACAAAGAGCAGCAAAACTTGGGGACATAAAGTTTCCTACTGACTAGATTTAAATATTTCAATACAACTCACCTTTCCTGCACTGTCTTTGCCAAAATGGATTTTATCAACTTGCACTTTTTTCTCACATAGCCCTGTTTTAAGGAGGATTTATGAAAGAGAGAAAGATGTTTAACATGTGCAGATTAAGCATCACTGTCAAGGGATAGCAAGCAATCTTTACTTTTACCACATCAAAATATGGTTCCCTTTGAAAGACTATTGTTGGGAGAATAAGTCATATAAAGTGGACACGTCTTTTTACTGTAATACTAAGGAGGACGCATTTGGAAAGCAGAAGATATCTGATGATTTTGTCGGCCAGTTGTCTGTCTGTTAGAGGCATGTTGATCGATAATAATATTAAATTTTGTCAACAAGACATGGTCACATCACAGTAGCAAATAATTATATAAATGACTGACAAACGATTTGATAAAACTAGATTTACACCCTTTAAATTTCAGATCTTGTGTCTTATAAGGGGTATTGACTGCCATATAGTACACTCCTCTAGAGTGATTTGCACTTGGTGGTTGATGCATTGACCGACATTTGACCGATATATTGACCAACACGTGGCTGACACTAATATTGGTCAATTATTGACCAATAAAGCCAAACCTCTCCATAATGACCTCCTTGGAGACAGAAGAAAGCGGCCATTGTAGAGAGGTTGTTGTCATAGAGAGGTTTAAACATGAGTCAATGTTATGTGGAGAGGTTGCCATTAGTGAAGGTTTGACTGAAGAATACGTGATCATCACCCTTCTATCGCCCTTCCATTAAATACTACCCATGAAATTATGGACCAAATTTTGGTCCATAATTTCATGGGTAGTAAAGTTCTCAACCAGTAGTTAGGTCATGTGATCTACAGTAGCTACCACAATATTGCATTAAGAGTAATCCTATTGGAGGAATTTACAATATCAGTGGAAGAAATTTTGCAGGCTGATCACTCAATTGATAACACTGTGTTAGTATTTCTGCTTGCACTATGTGCGAATAGGTAAAATGACTGGCACAAAAGATTTAGCTGCCATGGTGTCTTTTTCTCCAGAAAATGGGGGCAAATATGGATCTAAACAATTTAAACTACAGACTGATGAAAAATAGAACTGTCTATACTCTGTAACTATTCAAATCAGTGGTCTGTAAACCGGCAATATTTAATATTAAAACAGTTGTGAGAACTGAATGGTTCATCAAGGTGTCACGAACACGTTTTACAGACTGTTAAGGAGGATTAAGATGTTGATCGCTCATTATGAGCAAGATTTGGGAAAGTTTTATGTACAAACACAGTGAATCACATTGCGATCACAATTATACGACACAATAAACAAAGTTTAATGAGAAAGGCCATTTGGACCTTTGATCGCACAATCTTTGGATCTTCTAGAGACCGCAATTTTGCTGTCCCGTTTCTCAAAGATTTTTCACCAGTGCGTTCACAGAGGCTGTTCAGTCACTCTTTCGAGCAAGTTGTGCATAAATGATCGAGAGCACATGATCGACCCACCTTCTCGGTTATATCACCATCCCTGTACTCTTCCTCCAGTTCTGATAGTCTGCAAAAGAAATGATAGGGTTATCTTTACCTAAAATGATACTTAAAACCTCCAGGACAAAAAAGTAAACGCATCGATCGCGTGTAGCGCTTGCAGCTCAGGGCTTAAATTTACGGACAAGTTTGTTCAATATTTCAATAATTTCAACAGAACCGCCATATCTTACCTCTCAGAGATTCCTGGAGGAAATTCAGGTTCTGTTTTATGAACCATTCTTTCAAAAGCACAGAAAGGAGCGATGGAAAACAAGCACCACACCTCTTGCAACTCGCTGATCGGCGCTGATCGAGATCGATCGAGGACAGCTCGATCTCGTGGAATGTTTTGCTGTCGATTTCCCGCCAAAAGTCACTCGCGCAGGCGTTGCGCGCTTACCGTCACCAGTCTACAGAGTAAATGCGGCCATTTTGCCTGGTTCACCTGACAGTCCAAAATGAATGGAAAAGTTGAGGATTTAACGTGACGTTTTGTTATCCTGTATGGGTTCCCAGAGCCAGTCCGATTCCAGTCAACTTACTTCCCTAATTGTATCCTTTTTTTTACTAATTCTGTTAAAGCACAAAGTAGCTGCTCATGACCAGGCTGAAGTTGTCTGCCAATTCACTGCCAATTCGCCAGCTGCCAATTCGATAGGCTGAAGTTGTCTGCCAATTCGATTTAAGCGAGAAATATTGACATTTTTCATCATAACCAGTAAGAGGACTGTTACATTCGCCTTAAATAAGGTTTTCCAAACCCGTTCAGCTTTTCTGAATGACGAATATTTGTTGCGTGACATCGCAATAGTGGAGTCAACATGCACCGTTTGCAAGGACGCCAGCGATTGGCTGCGAGGTGTTTAATCCAATTATAAAGAATCATTACTTCATAACTCGCATGAACTTTCCAGGTTTTTTTTTCTTTCACGATTTAAGATAAGAATTAATGATTTGAGAATATGAAAAGATATTAAGGAAAAATAAATGTTGTAAATCACCGCGAAACACGAAGAAGGCTTTTTGGTCATTTCAAGCTTCTTGTGTGCCGTGAGAGATATTTCCCTTCCCCAATAGAGATATAATCCATGTCGTAACAAGGTTGACACGTTTGTAGATTGCCATGATGGAGATGCGTCACGACTTTGACGTCACTCGTGGAAGTCGCTACATCAACGACGAGATGGAGATGACGACATGGTAACACTGGTCGTGCTGCTGTAGTCGGGGTAGTCGTGGTAGTTGGGGTAGTCGTGGTGGTTGGTGTAGTCGGGGTAGTCGTGGTAGTTGGGGTAGTCATGGTGGTTGGGGTAGTCCTGCAGGTAGTCGTGGTGGTTACGGTAGTCGTGGTAGTTGGGGTAGTCGTGGTGGTTACGGTAGTCGTGGTGGTTACGGTAGTCGTGGTAGTTGCGGCAGTAGTGGTGGTTACGGTAGTCGTGGTAGTTGCGGCAGTAGTGGTGGTTACGGTAGTCGTGGTAGTTGGGGTAGTCGTGGTGGTTGGTGTAGTCGGGGTAGTCGTGGTAGTTGCGGTAGTCGTGGTGGTTGCGGTAGTCGTGGTAGTTGGGGTAGTCGTGGTGGTTGGTGTAGTCGGGGTAGTCGTGGTAGTTGCGGTAGTCGTGGTGGTTACGGTAGTCGTGGTAGTTGGGGTAGTCGTGGTGGTTACGGTAGTCGTGGTAGTCCTGCAGGTAGTCGCGGTAGTTACGGTAGTCGTGGTAGTTGGGGTAGTCGTGGTGGTTACGGTAGTCGTGGTAGTCCTGCAGGTAGTCGCGGTAGTTACGGTAGTCGTGGTAGTTGGGGTAGTCGTGGTGGTTACGGTAGTCGTGGTAGTTGGGGTAGTCGTGGTGGTTACGACAGTCGTGATAGTTGGGGTAGTCGTGGTGGTTACGGTAGTCGTGGTAGTTGGGGTAGTCGTGGTGGTTACGGTAGTCGTGGTAGTTACGGTAGTCGTGGTAGTCCTGCAGGTAGTCGCGGTAGTTACGGTAGTCGTGGTAGTTGGGGTAGTCGTGGTAGTCGCAGTAGTCACGGTAGTTACGGTAGTCGTGGTAGTTACGGTAGTCGTGGTAGTCGCGGTAGTCACGGTAGTCACGGTAATACTTGGGGTTGTCGGGATGATGTGTTCTAATTTTTCTTTGACTTGTTCGTCCTCGTCCTCGTCTGTATCCGTTTTCTCCCCATCTTGCTTCCTCTTCTTAGTCTCTTTTTCTGTGTCTCATGTGTCTTACTCTCCTATGTCGGGATAAAACTCTCGATTGATAATTCTAGTGATTAAAAATAACGGTTTGTCCACAACAGTTTCCAGGGCTTAGCTATGGTCCAGGGAATTTTCTTCCTTGAAGCGACGGAGTATATGCATGTTTTCCTTTTTTTAGGTACTGTGGACAAGACTTTCTTAACTCGTTTCTTTACAGCGACCTCTTTGGATTTCCCCAAAGCCTGTGTAGCAGGCGCTCGCCTGCTACGCAAGGTAGAATCATCCTGGTTAAAGAACCATTTTTGTTATAGTTATCAGCTATAGTTATAGTTTTCACCCTCTCGCAGCTTTTCCCAAGGATCAAATCTATGTTAGCTGAGATCAAAATAGTATTACAATATTTAAAAGAGGGGGAAAAGTTGTTCTCTGACCTCATGCTCTAGGCAGCGTGCTTATCATACTTGTAGTTCATTGAAACCTAAGGAACATAGTATAAGTCAAAAACCTCACAAGTTATTATGCTGCTCAATATTGACATTATATAAAATAAAATTCTCATCTGCTGGAACGTCATCTTTCGAGTCTGCGTTCGTGGGGTCTTGCTCATCTTCAAGAGGCAGAATCGTCAAATATGTCTCGCAATCGGGCATTTATTAAAAGTACACGCTCTTGTTGTACAATGATTAAACTCCATGCACAAGCCGTCTTTTTCAGTTTTTCATCCCCTGGGAGTAAATAATTATCTCAAGTGACTGGAACACTACCATTTAGACCCTGTTTACTTCGAGTGGCCATGGGGGACCCCGGTCTAGTGGTAGGTTTCTTTTTTTCTGTGTGTCCCCCAGAGCGTAAAAACATAAGAAACCAACCCCACTAGACCGGGGTCCCCCACTCCATGTAAACAGGCCCTTATTTATTTATGTAGACGTGGGAAGGGGCGAAATAAGGAGTGTCTATTTCAGAGTGGCTAGCGGGGCGGGGGTTAAACTTTTTATTTTGGCCTAAAAAGGAGTAGTTAACTGAGAAATGAAAGGTTAACAGTTAGGTGAGATTCTATTTATTAAACTGAGTACGATCTTTGATGTTAATGAAAGAGCCAAAGTTTTGGAAACAGAAATGCTATTTTCTGACTTTCTTCTGTCCTACTTATGACCTGGTGGCACATTAGCTGATATTAGTATATGCAAAAAGGCCCCAGGGAAGTACCCGGCAAACAGAAAGTGTCAGTCATTGGGCTGGTCGTAGACAACTCGACGAATACAACAGTTCGTCTTTATATATTAACAAGATTTATGTCTACGGAAAAGGAACGTACTGTTTTGATGTTTTGATATCAAGTTAAACACTGTCTGCTAACTAAAGAAAAAAGTTGTGTCTCTTCTCCGGCCTTGGATCTGGCAAAAAACAAGTTCTGATGGCTACCCAAAGAAAAAAGCTGTGCCTCTTATCCGGCATTGGATCTGGCAAAAGAGAAGTTCTGATGGCTCAAAGAAATCAGCAACTTTCTGTTAAGTACATGGAATTTGTACTTTCGAGAAACAATGTTTGTTAAAGGTAACATTGAGGGACTTTTGACAATGCAGGTGGAAAACCTGCAAGTGATTTCTTACTTCAAAACAAAATATTAGTACTTTGAACTACGCCCAAGACGTTGGAATCGCTTAAGGGCCTGTTTACCCCGGGTAGGTGGGGTAACCCGCCTGTCCATATAATCTCTCATTTTAATATGAGCACGTTTACATGTTAGGCGGGGTGACCCGCGACATGTCACCTCACCTACCTGGGGTCAATCACCTCCACGTAAACACGCCCTAAATGAAGAAGTCGAAGTCAGACCCGTGTCAAATACTTTCATGCCTTTGTCAGCAGTCTCAATTATGTCTCTCCCATCGGTGTAAACAGTGTTTGACAACGAAGTATAAGAAGCGAATAAAGTGAAGATAAAGCGGGATCTTTACCACCAGCGTAACGGGACTATTTCCTGCTATTTGCTATCTTGTGAAAAAGCTAAAACAAAATTCCTCTTACGTTACGTGAACAGCGCAAATTAAAGGGTAAGCGTAAATTACATCCAATACTGATCAAGGTTTTGGAGACTAATAGGGTGGATGTTGATATGAGTACCATTACCAGTTCCTACCTGAACTTCTTATTCAGTTTAAGTGTTTTCCTTCCTTATATCTTTCTTATATATTTCTTCCTTATATATTTCATTTTATTTTCGCTTTATCTTTACTTACGTTGTTTTGATATGACAAAATGACAGACATCAAACGTTTAGCAAATAAGATCAATAGCTATTTTGTTGGGCTGACTGACCATTTCCCACCCCTGTGCCAGGGAGTGCCCCCGCTATCTGTTCCTGATGAAATATTAATTTCAGAGTATGAGGCATACAAGTCCTTGTCCTCACTTCAGACATCGAAAGCAGTCAGTCAGCATTTTGAAAGATTTTGCTTTGGAATTAGCCCCCCTCGTTTGTGGCATGCCAGTCCCTAAGGGAGGGGTACATACCAGCTCTTCTGAAGTTTGATTTAATTGATTATCCAATAACTGCAAGAACTGGCAGATCTTGAAAAAGGGCGCTTAACATAATCTACCCCGAGGCAGAGTCATACAGTTAGGTAAACTAGATAGGTTAGATGATACAAGAATACTCTTGTGCTACAAATATATGGCGAACATGAAGTCCCCCAGCCACCCTCTGCACCACCTACTTCCCAGCCCACTTCTGGACGCGCCTAACTACACCTTAAGGCAGAAAACACAAAAATATTCTCTTTTCCGGAACATGCAGGTCTGTAGGACAAAGAGAGTGGAGGACGTCTTTACATTTAAATTTTTTAAGTGATTCAATTGTTATTTTCATTGATATAACTGTAAATTACTATACTCTAGATAATAGCTGCCTTATGATTGTAAAATGTACTCGATAATTCAGTTCTTTTTACTGCAAGAGAGTTTTAATAAACTAGTCTATAAGACAATTATTGTGTTGTTGCCCACCTAGAATAGCTCCGCTAATTGTGGGTAAAATAGAAAACTCA